TGATCATCAAAGAAAAGAAATATTTCAGTTAATTAATCATAAATGTCCACTATTTTCAGCTTAAGATGATGAACAAAAACTTTATTGGTTACTCAGTACAGAAGATAAGGAAACTCTTAATTTTGTGGGCAAATTTATAAATGATAATATGTTATAGTAGCATTAATCTTTTACACATACATGCATATTTGATGTATTCCTTTTAGACAGGACTATTGTTGAAATGATTTATTTGTTAATTACTAATTGTAAAATTGTTTTGCTATTCATTGGCTTTTCTTTTCCTAATTATTGTAACAATCTCATACCTGTCTGTTATGGGCTCTAAATTAGAAATAAAATGTTCTGTTTTGTTCTGTTCTGTGTATCAAATAATATGTCGTTTTTTTAACTTTTAAATTTTTTTATTTTCGTGTGAAATGCTTTTACAATATATATAAATAGTGATAATTCACAGAAAATATTAATTTCAAATCTGTGTCCAATATGCATCTTTAAATACAAACATTCAAAAAGGATAATTTTACGTAGCGCTCCATTGCGTAGCGCCCCATTCCTTAAAAGTAATGGGCCTTGGCCCCCTCGGGACCCCAGCTTCATAACCTTTAAAGTATGGAGCGCTACTGGTATACATTATCCCTTACTTAAAGTATCATTCAAACATAAAACTTTAAATCTATTTAAAAACCTTTAGAAACATGAATAACGAAAAGCTTATTGATGTAATTTATGTTGTTTATAATGGAAATCCTTTTACACCTTCTATTCTCTTCATATGTCATTTAAGATATAATTCACGTTTATAAGAAGTGCAACTGACATTAAATGTTATTTAAAAAATCTGATGTATGTCTAGTTGAAATTAAATGTTGCATGAAACTTCGTTATACATCACTGTTCTCAGAAGTCAGATTCGTTGAACGAAGTCAATATGAAACATACTTATAGTTTGGGTCATTTCACAGTTCAATGACAAACTACAGAGATATTTTTCAGCTCATAGCATAGGCCTGCATTTCCCACTGTTGTATCCCGGTAAAGATCGAGAAGTCAGTTTAAATGCACATATTAAACCTTTGGAAGTTTGTTGTGAAATACAGATACACGGAATAACTATATACAGGTATGACATGCAAATATTTGGATTGTTAATATAAGTGATTTTTGTAGCTATCTGATGAGAGAGAGAGAGAGAGAGAGAGAGAGAGAGAGAGAGAGAGAGAGAGAGAGAGATTGCTGCCTGTGCAAATTGTGATAATGTTCCAACTTTTTGCACTAGACAAATTATTTTTTACGCTTTCTATTCAATTCTTTTTTATCTATTTAACTTAAAAATATTGATTTCTTCTACAGTTTGCATCGTCATGTTAAAGGTTCTAGTACATGCATATTTCTTTTATTTGACATTTTACTGCTTGATTACGCGATTTAAACGCCTATTTACCCTTGAAGCACTTATGGTTTTTTGCTCGCATTTTAAATCCTTAAACACAATTTGCTGAAATAGATACAATAGAATTTTTAAAGTTCTTTTTCGGAATCCTGTATTTTTTTCCTTTCTTTATACAGTCCCGCTTACGAAAAAGAAATTCTCGATTTATAAGCTCTAACTAGATATTGTCGTGATACAGTAATACCTGCACTTAGGTGTTGGCCTCCAAAACATATTTCTTCATAACATGTTTTCCCATTTAGAAATAAGTCCAAAAATAAGTAATATTTACACAGTAAATGTATTCGTCTAATTAAGCATTGTTTATTTCCAAAAACCATACAGTTCATAAGTTTAACGTATATACATAAATCAGATTACACAATATACGTATAACAATTTCAATATCATTTGATCATAAAGTAAAGCAGGATCATAGAATTCTTTTTTTCTTTCTTTTTAACAAACTATTCATTCTAAATCCACAAAGCAAACAAAACACCATGATATAAATTTTGTTATAGTAGGTAGAGGGTTTGTGTGATAATATTTCTTAAAATACTCTTTTCTAACATCGGAAAAAATAAACCAGAATATCACAACCTGTGATATTGCACAAAAAGAAGTCGGTTCACTTTACTCATAAGATGGCCCTGTAGATATACCAATTGATTGATTAACACTTGATTCTCTATTTGAAGCATTAAAATAAATTGGAGACTTGGTGCTTTCATATCCTTTTAAAATTTTTCTCCTCCTAGTCCAGGTCTTGGAGAACTGGCTTTATGAATTTGCAATTGCAATGTTCTTGAATTTTTAGGTAAACAGGTATAATTGAGTACTTTCAATGAAGAAAAATAATATGAGCGCACTCTCTGATCTAAAAAATAAAACATGTCCATTAATCCTCAGAAACAGTTCTATCATTAAGTAGTTGCATATTTTGGATCAGAGGTTGCGCTCTATATTAAATATCGAAAAATAGCTTTAAAAATTGGCCAATTTTGTAGACTTTTTCAGAATATGAGGAAATTGACGCATTTCGTGACGTCATAATGCATTGACTAGCCAGAAAATGACGTCATTTTTGATAGATACGCAGTCACCGAAGATGTAAGTGATATTTAATGCATTGTTAACTAAAACTATGCAGTTTCAGTTTTTCAGAAATTCACAGGGCCAAATGAGGCTAAAGTGAACCTTATCCTTTGCATAATCTTTCTGCTTTAGGAATATTAAAAAATCTTCCACGTTCTATCTCTAGATGGTGATGCATTAGGCTTTGATTATACATGGAACTGTAAATATTATCTAAATGAAAAACTGGTTTTTGTTTGAGGTAAAACAAAGATTGAATGACATGTTCATACAAGAAGCACAAAGTTATTTTGAAAGTTCTCCGAAGTGAATGTCAACTAATGTTTTGTACATATTATTGTGATATTGTTTGGTTAAATATAATTGTAAATTAAAACTATCACTCAAATATTTTTACAAGATGCACTTTGACACTATCATGATCAGGAAATAACGGAGAAATCCGTCGTCAATTCAGTGTACAAATAATGGTCTAACAATGAGTATAAAAAATGTCAGTCAGCATTTGACTTAATGATAAATTGTATTTGTTGACAAGGTCAGTCTAGATCATAGAAATTGATGACTTTAAACGAGACTGTTGATATTCTTTTTCATCAACTTGCTTTTCAAGAATTTACCTCGTTTTAGAAATTGTTCATACTTAGAGCATGATCTTGTGTATCGAATCAACTGAGATATACAAGGGTTGATTCAAAAGTTCGTGGAATTTCTTTCTGATGAAAGCAAACAACAAACATATTTTTAATATAGAGTCATAATGCAACAATATTGGAAAAATTCAAAACTTTCCAATTACCAATTAGGTCACAGGAGCTTTCAAAAATGGATTGCTGTGCAACCGGGGGGAGACTTCGATGTTACGTCAAGTTTGATATGTCATGTCACGTTATAGAGGCATCTCACTCTAATGTCCAATTCGAATACGTAATTCTACAATATGCTGCCATTTATTTCTCAAGAAAAGCCTGGGTATCTCCTCGCACCAACTTATCTTCATTTTTCACTCATATTTCAAAATAGTCCCATCTTTCCATATGATGTTCCAATTCCAACATTAGCAATGTCAAAAACAGTACGTCAGCCGACAACGTCCATTAACGCTTTTAATTTGTCTAGGGGGAAGAAACCTAAAACAGAGCCTCAAAAGGCGGCCATGCCTTTAATCAACGTTCATGGAAGTTCTATTTTTCTTAAATTTCTTATGCCACTGGAAAACGAAATACATTTCCCTCCAGTCTATTTCAATTATATACGCGTTTAAGTGATACCAGGATTTTCACAAAACGTAAGTCTTGACCGAAATTTGACGTTGTCTAATAACTTAAAGACGAACAATAAATCACCAACTAATAAACTAATATCCACTAAAATCAGCAAAACTCTTATACATAGGTTTATAAAAATCACATAATCGTAATAATGACATAATTTTCGTTTTATATACCACATAGGGTAGTTTTATTCTAATTTCAGGTATTAAGAATTAAAATGATAATATTTACATTTCCAATGTCTTTATCCGAGATAAAATTAAGATAGTTAATGTACTTTATTTCTTCATGAATGCACTGGTTCTCAATAGGCGCTGCTAAAAAAATCACGTGCAGGGCCGGCCAAATAGCTACTAGACAGAAGCGGGGCTTGTAAAGTGTAGCACGTGAATTATGGGAATTAAGACCATGTAAATATAAGGAATAATTGTCTTATTTTTCTATTTCATGACGATGATCAATCGATTGGTTGCGTGATAATTTTATGCATCAACGCCTTCGGCGTTTATTCAAATTATCACGCAAGCCATTCAACTGATCACATCATTAAATCGAAAAATAAGAGAGTTAAACCTTACCTAAACGTGTTAATGCCCCCTCCCCCTTTCTAAACAACCGTTTTCTATGGCAACTGCCATAGAGTTACTATCTTAAATATTAAAAATGTTTTTTTTATTTAAAAAATTCAACAAGTGTCCATATTCTCATTTGTAACTTTTAACCGATTTCACTTAAAAATAAATAGAATATGAAGAAATTCCACGAGCTTTTGGATCAACCCTCGTATATACTCCGTATGCAGGTGATGAATATATATTGCTTCATAAAGGAAGTTAAGAATAGAAAAGTTAAAGTCATCACGTTTATCATATAGATTGATTGTAGATTACCATTCACGTCTTTTTCAAGTAAAATATCCAAGTACGAAACAGAAGTGTCAGACTTTGTGGTTTCTTTTATCTCAAACTCACGAGAATATATCGTATCGACGTAGGAATGTAAGGTAGAGGTAATGCTTCAAAAACTTAGACGCAAAACCTGTATTTGTTTTTCATTGAATATTCTCCCAGTGTGCATCCACCGTGTTCACCTTTAAGTTCACAAATATTGATAATTTTTTTTTTCAATTTTAAAATAATGTGATCTGAAATATATTCAGCTTGTATTTCTTTTTCACACTATAGATCTTCAACATCATGTGCACGCTTGGATTCAGCACGAGGTGTAAAATACGTCATTGTTTTCGTTGTGAGGGTGACACAGAATTCTACTGTAATACGTGTAAATATGACCTGTGTCTACAGTGTAAAGAGAGACATAATACTGACTCCCATAAAGTACTGTTATATAGATCAAAACATCGTAAAAGAGGCTTTACAATACAGTGTAAGATACGTCAATGTTCTCAGTGTCAAGGGGACACAGAATACTACTGTAATACATGTAAACACGACCTGTGTCTAGAGTGTAAAGAGAGACATGTTACAAACTTCCTTACCAAACATCATAAAGTGCCATTATATAAAGCCTTGACTAAACAGTGTAAGATACATCAATGTTCCCAGTGTCAAGGGGACACAGAATACTACTGTTACACGTGTAAACATGATCTGTGTAAACAGTGTAAAAGTAGACATGTTACAAAGTCAGAAACTAAGTACCATAAAGTGGTGCTATATCGAACACATCATTACAAAAAAGGCTTGACTGTACAATGTAAAGAACGACAGTGTTCTCAGTGTCAGGGGGACACAGAATATTACTGTAACACGTGCAAACATAACTTGTGTGTACAGTGTAAAGAAAAACATGTTGTTGATCTAAATACCATATACCATGATGTTGTGATTTATCGTGAGACATATAACATTGCAAAACAAGAGACCTGTGTAAGACATGTAGATACGACCTACGAAATGTTTTGTTATTCGTGTGAACTTCCTGTGTGTGTCAAATGTACAGGACATAGGCAACACCTAACAAAAGACATAGTAAAAGCATATAAAACAAACCGGCAGCAACACAGAGGGACCATTCACAACATCAGAAGTGAAATTTTGAACAACGCTTATTCTCTTTTGGCAGGAATGGAAACACGCAGCAGAAGTGATATAACGTTCAGAACAAGTATTTCTAAATGTAAATCAGAAATGTCCACAAAAGCCAAGAGATTAAAAGACTACATTGACAATGTGCAATGCGACAACATAAAAAAGATTACTTGTTATCTGAAGTATAGACTACAAAAGCATAAAAGAAAGATGATCAAACATCTTGCAAGCATTGAAAGCTATGAACATATATTTGACCAGTCAGCGAATCTTCCGGTACATTTCCTACTATTCCAAAAGAATACTAATGCTCTAACGACAAAGATTACCCCAAATCTTACACAAAACGTCCTGTTCTCTCTGGCTGAGGAAACTTATATTGATGTTATCCAGATTCTGAATGAAATCCAAATCATAGAAACAGGAAGGAGACGAGTTAGAAGCGAAAATCTTATGAAAATGATGTCCACGTTCGTGTTACATAAATCTATTTCAGTTAGAGGTGTTTTTCAGGTAAAGCACATATCCTATGTGACATCAAATAGATTTTGGATCAGTGACATTAATAATCTCATCCTTATAGATTCTGCTGGCAGAAAGTTGCATCAGTTGACAAATAGAGGTAGATTTTTTGCAGGGGCACACGCGGTGAACATGTCTTGTGATCTTTGTTTTATAGATATAGATGGTACAATTAACAAATACTCAAGAGATAACAAAGTAATATCTACACTGATACAGAAAACGGAACCATGGACACCATTTTGTGTTTATTGCTCCCTGATCGATGGAGATCTTCTACTTGGGATGGAGAATACTGATACAAAAATAGGGAAGGTTACACGGTATAACAGCACAGGACAACACGTACAGACAATACAACTGGATGACAGAGGTGAAAAACTGTATAGTAGACCAATGTACATCACAGAGAACCGCAATGGAGATATTATTGTGTCTGACTATTTCTGTCATGCTGTAGTTGTGACGGATCGTGGAGGGCGACACCGGTTCTCCTACAGAGGACATCCTCCAAGATTCTTACTACAACCACGTGGAATATGTACTGACGCGCTGTTACACATCCTGGTATGTGATTTTAACACCCAGACAGTACAGATGATTGACAAGGAAGGTCGATTTATCTCACTGATAAATATACCACAAGAAGTAGAATGTAAACATTGGAGCTTATTTTATGATGAAAAACGTCACCTTCTCTGGGTAGGATCCTTTGATAATAACACAATGTGTGCTTACAGGTATAAGGGAAGGCAGGACAACTGTCTGACGGATCGTTCATAGTTTACAAGTGTTAGAGGCGTAGATGACATTTTCTGTGTCACGCCAAACTGAAACTAAAATATAAAAAATAATCATACTACTGATGTACAAAAGGATAGAGATGGGAAAAACATAATGAACTCTATTTGTGAACTTGTTTATCTAGACGATGATTATAACATAGATAAACGTAAAATAACAAACCAAAATGAAAGCTGATAAAGAAAAAAGAATAGAACCATCGAAGCAACTCTGTGACTGCTCCCCTGACTTGTGCAGATTTTGGCAAAGTTACCAAGTATAGCAACACATACAAAGACAATACAACCCAACAATATAGGTCAGATAATCTACAATTTACCTAGATTCATAACTGAAAACTACAATTGTGATGTTATTTTTCTGACTATAGGCTAGGTCTAGTGGTGAAAAACTTTGTAGGATGACATCGCTTCTCCTACACAAGACCTCCAAAATGAACCACGTGATATCTGTCACTCATCCTGGTGTGTGACTGGAACACCGAAATAATACAGAAGATTGACATGATGGTCAGTTCTGATACTGACGCATGTGGTAATGTGGGAGCCTGAGTAATAATGATAACGTCATCTCATTTGGGCTGGATCATACATTTTTTCGAGATTGTGCAAATGCAAACATATAGAGAGACAGTTTTATTCGACAAATCATTGTATATGCAAATAGTTATTTAGATAATCCATGTTTTTCAATACCACGATACAATGAGGCGCTCTAATTTAGGAGGTAAGACTTCCTGTTTTAAAAATAGACCACAAATTAAACAATGCAAAATGTAGTATACATAATATTTTAAAAATTGGTTTACCTGGAAACAATCATTCTTAATCTTCTTCCGTTAATGTTATCAATCCTTAATAGAACCACCCTAGCTAAAATAAATTACAGTACAAAAGGATTAACCAAGAGAAAGTTTCAAAAATACATTTAATTAAGCAGTAATTGATTTAACATATATTGCAATGAAGTCTATGACGAAATTCAATTTTCTAAAAATTAAAATTCAAATACTAAGAATATCAATTAAAACTGTTTTGGAAAGAAATTTTGATATAAAAATAGAATGCCAATTTAAGATATTTTTCATGAAGGTTTATAATTAAAACAGAGATAGATAACTCTAACTAAAATTCAAAGTAAAAAACATTCCATTCTGACATGCTAATTGTAATATATTGGAGTTATGTTTAAATATACTGAACACTTAACCCTTACATTCTGTTATGCATTAATTGCCATTGAATCTGTTGCTATTGGAGATGGAATACCAAAATTCATCTTTTCACAGGCAACGTGTTTATTGTATGGCGTTTATTGTACGACAGTACTTGATTTAAGTGGCAGGGGATAGTTTCGCACTAAAGACCCGGTCCAATGTCTTTAAAAAACTCAGATATTCCCTGTTTGATTTGATATTTTCTGCAGAAAAAATGATAAGAATAATTATTGCACACATTTGCAGTTTAGTAGAGAGCCTGTTGAAAAAAAAATAATGTGCAGCATGTACACGTGTAGATATCACTATGACGCTTAGCATATACATATTTATACATGCAAAACTAAGGCACGTGGTCAGTTGCTGAGGATATTAATCTAAAAACAGATGGCCTTAGAAAAAGATGTGTATCTTAGAGGAAAGGTGGTTGGCTCCACATCAATTAGATTGATTTACAGATTTTTGGGTGTTTTATTTTGCTTGCTCTGCGCAGCTGCTTTTTTTTAAAAATAAAAATGAAACTCGTCAATTTACTTACCTGTTCATCGATCATTTGCAAAATTATTTGGTTGAAACACATTCTGATTGTAGACACAAGTAGTTGAAGTTGTCATCAAAGAGATGTTTGAGTTTCTGATCGACAATATCTATGTGGTTTTTGGAGACCAGGTATTCCAACAATCTTTTGGAATTCCCATGGGTACCAATTGTGCTTCGTTATTAGAGGACCTTATTTTATATTCATATGAAGCAGAATTTGTGCAAAATAGTATGCTTGAAAAGAAGAAAACACTTGCTGTGGCCCTCAACTCGACATTTAGATATATCAACGACGTATTGTCAATTGACAATGATAATTTCCATTTCTTATGTCGATATGATATATCCTGGTGAGCTTGAGATAAAAGATACCACAAAGTCTGATACATTTGTTTCATACTTGGATATTTTACATGAAAGAGACGTTAATGGTAATCTAACAACCAATCTATAATATGATAAACGTAATGACTTTATCTTTTCTTAAGCTTTCGTCAACTTCCCTTAATTTTGCAGCAGTATTCCTTCATCACCTGCATACGGAGTGTATATATTTCAGTTGATTCGATACGCAAGAGCTTTCTCTACGTTTGAACAATTTCTAAAACGAGGTAAATTTTTGACAAGCAAGTTGATGAAACAAGAATATAGCAGTCTCGATTAAGGATGTACAACACACCTATAGCCCCCAAAATTCCTGCCGTTTAATTTTCGTTATTTTTGTATATTTAGTACATTACTATATGTACTGCATGTATGCACATTTTGGACAAAATCGTTCGAGTGGTTTTTGGACAGGAAATTCCAAAAGTTACCCCATTTTAGTTGTTTACAAGGAGGGGAAATTTTTAATCAATGAACTACTTAAACCTTGATTTTCAAAAAAGTCAGGTTAGATATAACTGTCAAATTTCATTGACTTATTCTTTTAACCATTTACAAAAAATATATGTCCTCTTTTTGATATACATATAATCATAACAATTTTCGAAGACCTTAAACTGAAAAACTTTTAATTATCCAAGCCTAGAAAATTGTGTATTTTTCGAATTCAAAATTTTTTTGTGAAAAAACCTGTCGTTTAATTTTGGTAAAAAAATTTCTTTAGGTAGCTGGTAGTAAAAATAATCTTCATAATTTTTTTGTATAATTTTTGTACGACTTGTTTTGATTTTAATCGCGGAAAATTACCCCCTCTCCCTTTTTTAATAAAACACGTTCCCGCACACCTTTCAGACGGGGGTCGATCACTTTGTTATGAATCTACAAATACACATTTAAAAAAATCAAATTAGAATACTGTTTTTTCTTCACAAATATATTACCTTGCATATTTTAAAGCTCTCATAAAGCGTATTTAAATGTAGATTCTTAGGCAATTTTTGAATGACCCTACCACACCTACCCCTTCCTTTTTTGCGTCGCTGACCATTAGCGTTTGATGAAACGTCGTTCACAGTGCATATAGGCCCTATATGTATGCGTTATGCATTCCATATCACATGAAACCTGGATACGATATATATTGAATATGTTGATTTTTAATTTTGTTTCTTTTATTCTATATATCAAAAAAAGTGTATGTTCAACTCTCCTGTGATATAAATGGAATAATTATAGTTTCTTTCATGTCATTATTTCAAACGAGACAGTATGTGGCCGTGGGGATACGTCGACATTTGTATACATGTACACCCCCATATTGTTTCTTTCAATGTCGTTGCTTCTAAAGTTAAAATGAGAATTCCGTATTCGTCCACTCCACATTAACTTCAAATTATCAAACATCAACATCTTCATCTATTTTAACTTCAAATTATCAAACATCAATTTTTCCATCTAATTTAATTTATATTCATGCGCACATTGATATTTTTTTTTAAAAATCTTAAAGGCTACGTTTTGTTTTGAATCGAGGAAATGCGAACCGACATTGTTGACAGTGACAGAAAGTCAAACGATTTGCTGCAATAGGATATTCATAAAATTCAGATAATTTCAGTACTAGTATTCAATTCTTTTCAATTCTATACCTACATTGTGTCTATGAAGTTTATAGTATTCAATTGAATTATCGGATTTATAACAGGTCTTTCTGTATTTGATTCTTTGTATGCGGAAAACCGTGAATAAAGGGAGGAAACAAACATCTCCTACATTATTAGAGTTGTTCCTCTTTGATCAGTAAGGGTTACATTGTTAAAAGTTTTTTGTTTGTTTATTGTTGTTTTATTTAATTAAAGAAGAAAAACAATATTTATATCGTAAATGCACAAATTATAATAAAGACCATTAATCGGAATTTTATATAAAGCCAATTGTACATAATGAGAATTTCGGTAATGTAAAATAAAATTTTTAGAATGTTAAAAATGCTGCGCTTTAAGAATACAATTTATTGTACATGAAATGAAATAGACAATAAGGGATGGTATTTGGCATTTTAGGTCTAGCTTTTTACGGAGTTTATCGGGTTAATTAAAAAAAAATATTTATGGATTAAGTATGGTACTCATAATCACAGCCAAGCCCCATATCCCATTTGCCTTTTATGATTGATATACATTGGGATCGTTTTGACGCTTTATTATTGACGCTAAATTTGACGTCATGTCAAACGTTCAATTGAAATCGTAAGAGTTATCTCCCCCAGTGTGTTGTACGTCTTTAAAGTCATCATCTATGGTCGATACAATGACCTTGTCAGCAAATACAATTTGTCATTAAGAAAAACGCTGACGGACTTTTTCATACCAATTGTTAGTCCATTATTTATATTGTAAATTGGAATTGACGACAGATTTTTCCGTTATTTCCTGGTGATAACAAGGAGCACACGGCGGGTGTGACCGGTCGGCCGGGGCGCTCGCCCCTCCATGGCACCTGATCCCACCTCTGATGTATCGGATGTCCGTGTTTCTTCTTCATTGTAAATGTTCGATAAAAAAGGAACGAATAAATTACAAGAAAATATATAAATTACTACATACTCATACAACTGACGAAAAAAAAGTTTTCTTCTTAGAATAAATCCTTGATCCAGTTTACATGTAATCTTCTGATCTATCTGATTTGTCGGCGAGTGTAAAAGTTACCCCTTACCTGTATGTATGGTACAGACAGACGCACGGTTAACAGGAGGTTGACATCGGATTTAAACAAAAATGAATCCCACCATAAGGCACGTCCCAGAGACGATTGCTAAAATTTCAAGCATCTGTAA